CGGCCTATATTTTGAGATGCTAGATTCCATACTTGTGTTGTTGATAAATTATGGGATTTGTGGAAGTACTTGCATTATGTGGCCCTTAAGGGTTCATTGAATAATTGTTGGCTTAGAAATCAGTGATTGAGAATTTGTTTGAAATATTCGTTTGAACACTCTCCTCGATATTACTTATACTTCATGTCTTTCCATTTTATTGATATTCATATGCTTGGTGAGGAAGAGTGTAAAGCACGAAGGGTGATGCCGTGCCATTTTATATTCATTATCATGTGAGGAAGAGTGTAAAGCACGAAGGGTGATACCGTGCCATATCATTTGAGAGTAAAAGCACGAAGGGTGATGTCGTGCCATTTCATTTATATTGCTATGATTGTGTGTTATCGTGAGGTCATGGCACGATGGGTGTTTTCGTGCATGCGAGGATGAGGGACATGCATTATGTTTGATATTAGTTTTCCACGTATACGTTCATGTCTTTACCTTGAACTGTTATTTTCATAATTATGGACCTGATGTGACTTGTTGCTATTGTTCTATCACTGATCTCTATTTCAATTGTTGTTGTGTTGCTCATACCTTCTACTTGCTTAACTTGCAATTACCATGCTTATTTCCTGCTTTTATAATTATACTCATGTTGTATCTATTCTGTAGCACTTAGTATAAGCTTTCCACCATGTTAGCCATTCATGCCCTTACTTGTCAATTTGTAAAGATCGTGTATTTCCGTCTTATTTGTTATAGTTGTACTTAGGCCTCCAATATGCTAGTTAATTGAAGTTGATATTCCTTGTTTTCCAATTGTTGTTATTACTCACGCGCTTTCCGCTTAGTCTTTTACTGTTGCCCACATGTGTATCTTTGTCCATTGTTGTTACTTGCATATTTTCTACTTTTTAATTCCTGTTATCGATATTTCTGTCATCTGGTTGGTTCTGTTACTCGTACATTTGGGAGGATGAGTTGAACGCACGAAGGGTGTTGCCGTGCTAATTGTTTTGTCACAAAATTTATATATATATATATATATATATATATATATATATATATATATATATATATATATATATATATATATATATATATATATATCACTACAAAATTTTCAAAAGAATATAATTTTGAACCTATAATTTCAAAAGTAAAATGGATTCATGATAAGAGACAAAAGTCAAATCCGTCAATATATATTCTAGATCCACCTCTTCACAATAGTACACCCATCCTCTAGAAATTCTTGATCCGCCTCTGACTCAAACCCGAGCATAATAGTGAGATAGTCTATACTAGTAATTAAGAATGGCATCCTAAAAATAGTGAATGATCAGTTTTAAAATTGCAATAGGGCAAGCAACTTGCAAATGAGCAAGTTGTTCGATTCCAGCGATAAAAGTTTTGTTAGTATGACTAAAAAGATACACAGGAATTGGTTGCTTTTTTTCTTTTTATCTTCTCTGTCTGCTTCTTTTTCTTTTTCTTTTTCCTCATAGTCCCATCCATCAAACTTATTAACGAAGAAATTAGGAAAATTAATATTAACCCCATAATGGAGCTTAGCTTTTCCTTTGTCATTCTTATTCTTTAAAAAAAATTCAAAAAGAAATCCCACGAGCCATGACTTAGAAAAGAAACTACTTGATATGATTCGATTTGGTGAAATAAAAGTTGTGGCATCGTGGAAAACACAGTTTATAGGATGAAAAGATTTGTCGTCTAATTTTTACAAATTAAAAATTGATTTTTAGATACAATATTTTAGTGGAAGGAATCCCCCCCCCCCGTCCCCTCCTCGCNAATAGACTGTGCCTTCCTCTCTCTCTCTCTCTCTCTCTCACACACACACACACACTCTCTCACACACACACACACACACACACACACACACACACACACACACATATATATATATATATATATGAAGCATTAATTTAAATGATAAGTAATAGAATAAAAATAATTCAAATGCATATACTTGAAATACATTTCAACAAAAGAAACACACTTTGTGTACTATATATAGTAATAAAGCAATGTTGGTTCAAGAAGTTCACTAGCAAAGACCTCTAAAAAACCAAATGTACTCATATTTAGTGTCAACAAAAATAAACATCTTGTTCAAAAGATCTTCACCATTCACTTTAATGATTGAAATTGATTTGTGGCCACCATTTCTAATTGCATCACCTGTATTTTCCTACACATTCAAAATGAAAAAATTAGGAAGAAATGCTTGTAACGAGAACAAGGATCAAAAGAAAGCCTGAAAATACTTCCACTTCTTCAGAATAAGTTAAACTTCTATGCAGTTAGTAAGTGGTAAAAGAAGTAATTAATAGAAGATTACTCTGGTCACATGTAACGAGTTATAAAATGTGTTATAATCTAAGTAGCTCCAGTCAATTGAGGGTCACGTACCCTCTTCCTTTATATATGAAGACAATGTTTTCTTTATTTTAATTTTATAATATCACTAGTCATATCTCTTTATTATCGTTTCTACAGCTAGCCTCATGTCTTTTGGTGTCTTTCATGTGATGTATCTCTGAATCAAAATGAACAACCTGTTCCATAACAAGAGTCCTTAGAATGGGAGAGAAGGTGTATCATTTCCTTCTATTAATATTTACAGACCCTTCAAAAGGATTGGAATACTCTTGTAAAATGCAAATCTTTGATATTTTCTTTTTGTGCCTCAAATCATTGCATTACACCTTGTGTACTTATTAAGAAATCGTTATACATGAACTTAAAATATTTATAGATAATACTATTCCAAAATGATCTCCTCAAAGAAACAAAATACCTATTGAGATACCAATAACCAACTTGCAAATATTTTTTCTATAGTCTACTTTCAAACATTATGACCCCTAGAATCTTAGTCATGGCAATAGATTCAGTTTCCTATCACACACTTATAGAAAGCATGATTTTGTAAGTTACTTAAGATTGAGGTAGTTTTTGAAATTGTAAAATATAAATACCTTTTCAATATTCGGGGCATGAGTTGAGCCAGAAGAATGTTGTAGATTTTTGCCTCTCATAGCTCGTGCACTACTTGCATCAACCGGTGAAGGAATATTCGATCCAACACACCCTTGTATATCATGAAAATCTAGTTCGGGGTTGTTTTTCACCAATTGACTAAAAAACATCGCACTTCTTCCCTCATCATTTCCTTCATTTCTTCCTTCAGAGAAGTTATTTCGTTGGCATGCTTTTGTTGAAGCTTGGTGATTTCTTCATCTTTTTTTAGAGAGCTTGTCGTCACCGATCTACCATAGCATCTAACCCGACCAGGCTGCTCCTTTCCAAATACAGCCCTAAATGCATCATCTGCTGTTTCTCCAGAACTTTGGCGATTCTGAAGTTCAGACTGTCAAAAAAATATTATTACACATCACTTATAAGTCAAGATAGATCGAACACTAAAATAAGTTTTAACAAGTCAAGTCAGATTAGATAAAAGTACCAAATAGCGATAGCCTGCAAAATGTTTCCTTTGCTTCAGATAATGTACTATAAGACCACTTTGGTATTTGACAACTTAATATGAATGAAGAGGTCTCATCTAACGCAAAGGCGGCAGGAAAAGTTCAGTTGTTAGATGGGTTTGTCAGCCTTTCGTATGAGGTACTTAATTTCTTCAGCCTATGAACCAGCACCCAAGTTCCCAACTTCTTTTCAGCTATTTGCACATAATAAATCAGAACCGCGACTAGCACTGGCTACAGAGAAATTAGAGACACGTCCAAAAATTAAGAATAAGTTGAACCAGATATACCACCTATGAAATTTCCTGTTTATCTGGTTAATCCTGTTTAAACCTGGTTAATCCTGTTTAATCCTGTTTAAACCTTGAACCGGATATTGATCGACCTACTGTGAACCAGCTTTTGCCTTAATACATCACTTTGTGAACCACCATTTATAGCCAACATTTCATTTCAGATCCAGGATGGCAGGAAAGTAAAATTTTGGCAAGATGCACGGCTGGGTCACTCCCCTTTAAGAGACCAGCATCCAACCCTCTTTAGACTTGCAGAAAATCCTGAAGCTTCTATCTCGGAGACTCGGACAATAGCACAGAGCAGAGTTGGGACATCATTCTCAAGAAAACACCAATAATTGGGAAATGGACAGCTTTTGTTCATTGCTTCTTCAGCTGAGCATCCTTCCACCTCCTCAACCTAAGCCTGATTCACTGATCAGGAGAGTCACTTAGAAAAGATATTCTCCGTAAAATTAGGCTAACATACCCAGCAGCTCAAGTACACTCAATACTAAGTGGCAATTGCAGTGCATCTGGAAAAACAAAGCCCCTCCGAAGGTAGAGTGCTTTATTTGGCAGTTGGCCGAAGAAGCGAGCTTAACATATAAGAANATAAGCAACTCTGCAGTTACTAAGGGACGGACCAAGTCACAATCCCTACAGGTGCACGCCCACTCGCCCACACACCCGTCACCTAGCATGTGCGTCATCTTATTTATCAAAACAGTACGAAATTCCGGGGTTTCATACCTCCGGTCTAGATTTACAATTGTTACATACCTCAAACTGGATGAAAACTTACTCCGCGATGCCTTTTCCACTCGACTCGGCCTCAAATCGCGCCGGATCTATCCAAAATCAGAATCACAACATTAATATATGCCAAAGGAACACCGCACGAAAATAATCAAATTACATCAAAAATCCCGAAATTAGTCTAACCCGACCCCCGGACCCATGTCTCGGAATTCAATAAAAATCACATCACTAGAATCCTGATCCTCCCACGAGTCTATACATATCAAGAACATCAAAATCGGACCTCAAATGGCTCCTCAGATCCCCAATTTAAACTCACCAAATCCAAGCCCTAATTCTCAATTTTAACCCTTAAATTCCACTAATTTCATGTCTAATCAGTTGGAAATCACCATAGAATCGAGTATTGAGTTCAAAAATCTTACCTCCAAGCGTTACCCCTCAAATCCCTCTGCAAAACCTCTCAAAAAACTCCAAGCCCATCTAAAAAATGGTGGAAATGGGCAATCAAACACTCTTCAACCAAATATGCCTCAGCAATAGATCCTTCTGGATAATTTCTGTTGCGAACATATGATTTTGATGTACACATATACCTTTCAGGAGGATACATCCATCGATTTTGAACTGGACCTCCCAACCTTACCTCATTTGCCAAATGAATAGGCAAATGAATCATTATATCAAAAAAAATTGGAGGAAAAATTCTTTCCAATTGATTCGTGGTTTCTCTAATCTCTACTTCCAAGCAATCTAGCTCTTCCATTGTGATAACTTTTTGACATAAACGGCGAAAGAAAGAACTTAGACGAATCAAAGGGATAGCAACATGATCAGGAAGTATGCTTTTAACTGGTATTGGCAACAAGTAATGTAACATGAAGTGGGCATCATGGGTTTTATAACCGGATAATTTTCTTTCATCTAGCTGCACACACCTGGATATGTTGGAAGCACTACCATCAGGTAGATTTGCTGTCTTTAAAACACCACAGAAAACTGATTTCTCACCATTGGTCATTGAGAAACATGCTTTTGCAAACTTTGTTCTCTTGCCATCCTTTGTATCTTTTGGTTGAAGGTTCTTCCTAATGCACATCTCTTTCAGATCATAACGAGCATTTGCATGATCCTTTGTCTTGCCAGGAATGTCCAAAATAGTTCCAATTACGTTATCCACTATATTTTTCTCTATATGCATTACGTCAAGGTTATGACGTAACGAGTTGTGCTGCCAATAAGGTAATTCAAAAAAAATTGACCTTTTTTTCCAAGAGCCATCATTTGTTCTCTTTCGCTTCTTCCCAGACACATTGTTAAAATTCTGTAAGCTATTAAGCACATCAGTTCCCTTTAACAAAGGAGGAGGAGGCCTAAATTCTGTTTTTCCATTGAAAGACCTTTTATTAGATCTCCATGGATAATCCATAGGAAGAAAAACACGATGATCCATATAACACATTTTTCGACTATGTTTAAGATAACGAGAATTAGTGACATAATTACAACAAGGGCAAGCCAACTTTCCCTTTGTACTCCAACCGGATAACATAGCATATGCAGGAAAGTCACTGATTGTCCATAAAAGAGCTGCTTGCATTTGAAAGGTTTGATCTCTTAAAGCATCATATGTTTCTACCCCGGACTCCCACAAAACATTTAACTCTTCTATTAATGATTGTAAATAAACATCAATGTCATTTCCAGGTGATCGTGGCCCAGGTATAAGCAAAGAAAGCATACAGTACTCTGGCTTCATGCACATCCAAGTAGGCAAATTATACACCATTAAAATAACTGGCCATGTGCTATGAGATATGCTCATGGTCCGGAATGGATTGAACCCATCACTTGCTAAGCCAAGTCTCAAATTGCGAGAATCCCTTGCAAATTCTGAATGCAAGCTATCAAAGTCTTTCCATGCTTGCCCATTAGCAGGATGCCTTAACTTCCCATCTTTAGAACGCTCCTCGTCATGCCACCTCAATGTATCTGCTGTCTTTGAGCACATAAATAGCCTTTTAAGTCTAGGAATTAATGGAAAGTATCTCAAAATTTTTGGTGGAACACGATAACCTTTTTTGGAAGCCTCAAGATCGCTATCTACTTCAGGATATTTAATATATCGAGATGATTCACAAACATGACAATATTCATCATCCTTATGGTCATTCCTAAATAGCATGCAATCATTGGGACATGCATACATTTTTTCATAATCAAGACCGAGATCCTTTACCATAGATTTGGCTTTATTGTAGGATATACGAATGTTCAAGCCAGGCATCGCCTCTTTTAATAGCTCTAAAAGAGAAGTGAAAGACGCATTGCTCCATCCATATAGACACTTCAACAAATACAGACGGATTGTAAAAGATAATCTAGAGAATCCTTTACAACCAGGATATAGTTCTTGGCTTGCCTCGTCAACTAAGTTATAGAATTTATTGGCATCTTCATTTGGGCCTTCATACACTCCTCCAGCATGTGCAACATTTCTAAATTGATCATTCAACAACCCATCAATATCATCGTACGAGTAAACATTATCATCCATGTCACAATTAGCATTCATCGAAATTTCCCATTCCCCATGATTAATCCATCTTGTATAACCTTGAACAAACCCATAACATATTAGATGATCATACACTACATTCCTTCGAGTCCAACGAATATTACAACACTTTGCACATGGGCATTGAATTTCTTCGCCTTGAGGATCTCCATAAGAGTAAGCAAAATCTAAGAAAGATTGAACACCCTCGATATGCTCTTTGCTATACCTTGGTAAATCAATCCATTCCTTTGATGGAACATTTGAATTCCTAAAATAAAATTTATTAGATCTTCAAATATATAATCATTTAAGCATTAATTATATGGTAAAACTAAATGACTAAGATCTCGCTTAACCAGAAGATAGAATCCTATTGTTGAACTTGGTCCTAAATGTCAAGAATAAATCTGTAGAATCATGTGTTGTAAAATGATAGGACTTTCTTACCTAGACATGACACTTAAGCTAAGCCAAATACAACTTTAAGTCCACCACAAATATTCCCGAGCGTGACTTATCTTCTTGGATAAAAAAGGTAAAATTAGGATCCACAAAACAAAGACAGAAAGTAATAAAATTCTAAACCAAGTTTTTCATGAAGATAATATAATAGTTCTGCGCACCAAAAAGTTTCATGTGCACTTTGGCAAGTACAGTGACACCTAAAATGTGTTTTGTTCGTACAAATATTATATAATTAAAAGAAGTTAAAATATAAAAATCTAACTAGCTATTTCTGATTTCTTCAACTCAAAAGAAGAAACTCCAGAACTAGTCATATTTTAAAATTACTAAAGGAAACTTTGATAGAATAATTTACCACATTACATTTTGACAGAACAATTTGCAACCATAAATAACTAAGATCTATGAACTCTTGTACTAAAAAAATAATCATTTTACATGAAAATTTTAGTTCATTTCCACAATCAAATTGCCAGGGGGCAATCACTGCATCCTAAGAATATCAACCATTCTGCATCTAATAACTACCAACCAAATTTCTAGGATTAAAGAAGGAAAACATATCAACTACCAGAAATAAGGATATTATTCAGGAACAAACAAACCCACCCATCAAAAGCCTAGTTTCCATTGGGTTGGTTGTGGAAAACACAACGCTAACACAACCCACCTAGGAATCCTAGATCATGCATACTCCAAATTAGAATTCAGAATGTAAGTTTTACCAAATTACTCAAACACAACGCTAACTCTTATCCAATATACTTTTTATTCATATGAGCTAATATTAACCTTCTCACAACAAAATCTTAAGCTTCCCTGAGAGATACATATTTTTACAAAATAGATAGGTCATATTGTGATTCTGGTTTTATCAGATGCTTAAAATAGGTACAGGACAACTCATTTGCTAATACTACTTATCTGCTTTTAATCTCTTGCAAATCTTACCCCTGTTAGCTTTTGTTCTTTTCACGGGTCCCATCCCATGCCCTAATAGTTAGCTCATTTTATGATTCTGGTTTTATCAGATGCTTAAAATAGGTAAGGGACAGTAGTGTAGGAATTATGTTTTCTTTTCTGCACATAGTTTGAGCTTTAAACGACTACTGCCAGTGGTTGGTCTATAGGGTTGAGGTGCAATTTTATCTTATAACAACTAAGTTTTTAAATGTGTTTAGCAGAATTATTAGATGTCCCCTGATGTTTACAGATTCTACTTTATTACAAAAGTTGAATCTACTAGGAAGCCAATTGTTTCTAAATTGGTCGACAAATGATCGGGCACTAACATGGAAACTAGAAGTGCAGCACATCAGTCATATTATACTAACAAACTCAACTGCTGAGTAACGTTTATGAATCTGCGACAAAGTTTGCAATATTTTGTAATACCAGAACAAAAAAAATTTCATAAACTTATTATTACAACCCCTACACCTTCCTCCGCTCCCCCTCTCAATATATCACTAAGAAATCTCAAATATTCAAAAGAATGAATGCTGTACCAGACACTTCTGGTATTCTGAGGCGCGACTGACATGGTAAAAGAACAAATCAGCCTAAGACGTACCGTACGTCAGATTAATCAACAGGAATAGGACAATTAAAAGATAACAAAGCCAATTTGTAGAATTAGGCTCACAAATCTGCTAGAATTTTAAAATAAATTACTAATCTTGGAGACTAGAAGAGGAATAATTAATTTATAGTTCATTCTTTTCTGGAATAAGTATCAAATTAGATATGAAACTACAACAATCAGAGACCATAAGATGGTAAAATATTGAAATAGAAGAGCACCAACCTGAGATTGGAAGAATTCCCCGTTTCTCTAGCTTTATAAATTTCTTCAATCTGGAACGAGGAGGGCGAGAAGGTGCAAAACAGTACCTAAGAGAAAGGGGAAACGGGAATTCTTCCTTTGAGACAATAGTTTGAAAATAAAAACACTACCCAAAGTAGGATGAGAAGGTGCGAAATTAACAGTACCTAATTAATCTTCCCGGTGCAGAAATTAACAGTAAGTTTCCGGTGCAGAAATTAGCAGAAATTCCCGATTCGATCGTCAGTCTCCACACTAGAAGCCAGAAACCCTAATCCACAGAGTGTTGAGCGAGGAGTGCCCTTTTGAAATTGAAAAAATAAAATTTCGCCTAGACTATATCGGATCGGAGGGAACATTATATTTTTTTGGAGGGAATATTATATTTTAGCCAAATATTTTGTTGGATTTTTAGAGCACATTTATAAAGTGTTGCTTTTCCAATTATAATAAGAGCACACTTAAAAAGAGTGCCACATACTCAAGTAAATGTTGCCAATTATTTTATGATTTAGCAACGTTCAATAAGTGTGGCCTAATAAATTAAAGAGCATATTTTACAAGCGTAGCCAAATTTTCCGTACCCAAAAGCTCCATACAAAGGCCACCCCTTAAAAGTGTGCCCAAATATATTTTTGGGCACACTTTTCAGGCGTTGTCTAAAACTAGTGTGGCGTTAGACCATAATTGTATTAGTGTATATATATATATAGAAGAATAAGATCCTGGCACACGAAAAAACAAGACTTATGGAGCAAGTGAAGGTACTAGAACAAAGAGTACATGCATTAAAATTTGAATTGGCACAATCCCAGACTCAAGTTATTTCTCAACAAGACACGGAGATTAGTAGTCCAAAACAGAGTGTATATGTAAGGCCCCAGAAAATTTCGCTAATTAATTTAGGATTTCGTGGTGACACATAGGCTAATTATAATATTTTATGTGCTATTAACATGGTGGGAATAAATTGTACTTGGTAAATAAGTTTACGAGTCTTGGTAAGTGATTTGGGGCCCAAGGAAAGGCCTAAGCCTAAGTCAAATTGGAAAATTTCATAATAGGCTAAGATTCCAAATGAGTTTGCACAAGTCCTCACTTTGGACAAGCATATCTACATTTATATAAGATTTTGTGTGATGCACAACCTACCAAATTAAAGCTCTTTGAGTCTAATTTCCGACGCATCAAACTGTTCGTCATTTGGAGGTGTATACAGAAAGTTATGCCCGTTTTCGTGTCCCTTCCGTCGCCAGCATCCAGGGTAGCGCCGGGCGCTTGCCGTGGCGCTGGGAATTTTTAAGATACTGGAATCAGCGACACAGGTAGCGCCCAGCGCCACCTGTTTGCCCGAAACATTTTATATACTCATTTCGGGGTTCATTTTCACCCATTCATCTTGGCCGAACTTTGGGGTCTTCCTTCACCCTCTCAAGACCTTCAACTCCCCCAATCTTCAAGGTAAGCAACCTCCATTAACTTGGTGTGAAATTCCACATTCCTACACTAGTATTGATGAAATTTACTCATAAAACACATAGATCTTCAAAAAATTCCTTCAAGAACTCAAAGGAGGTTTTGCAAGATTTCTTCCAAAAGGTAAATCCTACACCCTTAGACTTACATATATGGATATATTATGGGAATATGAGTATGAATTAAGTATTGTAACTCATGGGATGGCGATTGGAAGCCATAAGTGCCTAACCTAGGTTGTGTTGGTGTTGTAGAGATTGTGAAATGGGTTAGTTAAGGAGGTTGATGGTTGGTGTGTATGGATGGTCATACATATGTTGTTGGAAGTTATAAATTGGTTAGGAATGATGGTGGAATAAATTATTGGTTAATAGTGATAGTTGGATGAACCAATACTACGGTTATGAGATGCAAAGATCTATACCTACAAGGTGTTTGATAATATGCCTAAATGGTATGAGTTATGAAAATTATTACTAATATTGGCCCTATTGAATGTTGCATTGTAGATTGAAGTTGCTTAAGTGTATTGGATCATTGTAGTGTCATTAAGGGGCATTTTTTTTTAAATAGTTAGTAATCTATTTGTGTTACAAAAAATAGAAAATCACAAAAATAACGCATTTTGCATTTGGCTGCGAATCTTGCAATTTCTTTTAATTTGGTACTTAATTAGTTGTTGTAAATATTATTTTGAACATTAATCTAATTTGGTAGGATAATTTTGGTTTAAAATTAATATAGGTTTTAATTTGAAAAAAAAGAAAAGATTTGAAATTGAAAAGAAATAGAAATATAAGTCTGTTGGGCCATCTTTAATTTCCAAGCCCCAGGCCCAAACGTTATCCCCAGACCCACACCTTA